TACGTGTTTCATGGGCAGTGCTTCTTTTTCTCTTAGTTCTCTCTTTCTTGAGGCTCTATGTGATGGCAGAGCTCCAGCAGGTCTACACACATTTTTTCAAAATCAAGTTTACTAAGATTATACTTCACATACAATAAAATGCACTCATTTTAAGCATACAGTTTAATGAGTTTTGACAAATGTATGTACCCCTGAAGCCACCACCACTACCTCCTTATCATCTGCAAAGATCCCCGTGGATCTTCCTAGTCAGTTCCAACCCCATCCTCCACCATCCTCCTGGCAAACATTGCTCTGCTTTCCATCACTAGAAATTAGATCAGTATAAGAAAAGAGATTACTAGCTCATTAAGTTTTGAAAAGAAATTATTTTCTGCTGCTCACCAGCTCTCATCACGGGAATAAAAATCAACTTTAAGCTTTCAGTTTGTTTTCATATAAGAGATGGGAAAATGCCCATCTGTAAGAATCGCTTCTTCTACTTCACACCTTGAAGTGATCAAACTATCAGGGCAAAACTCCCCTCAATGTGAGTGGCGTTTGCACTACTGCACTACCAATTCCGTCCTTAATAATATCTGCTGAAGAGAAGTGCTGCCTTTAGAAATGACAAGAAAAAAAGCTTTTTAGTCCTTCAGGGAAAAACAACAGCAAAAAAAAAAAAAACCCATACTCATTCCCTTAGATCTAACACTGAATCAGCAAACTTTGCACCTGACTGGATCTAACCACCCCTGCCAAGCCTACCTCTCATTCCAGCTCCTGGCTCCCAGCTCCACCAGCTGTTCCACTGACAGTTCTAGAAGTTTAAGGAGCTGAGGGCATTTACCAGAAAAAGCCACAGAAATAAAAAGCACCCATACAGATAAAGGCATGTTTAGTCTGTAAGTAACAGGACAAACTCAGGAACTTGTCTGAAACTGAGAAACTCAATTTGCATTCAAGATCAAAGGTGTCTATGCATTTTATCTCACTGACCTCATGATGGTGACCTGCTTCGCTGCTGGTCTGAAAAGCTGGGGTCTGAGCTGATTTGCTCTTCAGAAATCTTCCTTAGTGTGCTTCAAGTAAATGCCAAAGGAGCTATATAAAGGCGAATTGGGCGTGGTGGGGGAATGTATCAGCTGATGTTTTCTCTCATGTCGCAGTGATTGTTTTTCAAGAAAGGGAAGAGGAACTGGAAAGCAAACTAATTTTAAATCAAGAGGGAGAAAAGAAAACTGAAGGTTGAGGTCTGTTATGACTTACAGAAGTACATTGTTTAAAATCATGGATCAAACTACAGACCCCACTCCCACTGACCACAAATCTAGGGTGGGTCCCAGGAAGCTGTATTTTTTTTTTAATAAGTTAAGCACTGCCTAGTTTTGTTTTTTAATTTTATTTACTTTTTATTTAAAGATTTTATTGGGGAATTTGGGGAGGAGAACAGTGTTGGGGAATTGGGGAAGGGGGCCTGCCAAGTTGTTGTTCTTCAGTCTTCGTTGTGGAGGGCGCCAGTCACCATCTGGCTTCCCTCCGGCAGCTCNAGATACAGAGGAAAAACTGACAGTTGCTAGATGGGAGGAGGGTTGAGGGATGGTGGAGAAGGGGAAGGGATTAGAAAGTACAAATTGGGAGTCACAGATTAGGCACGGGGATGTGAAATACAGTATGGGGAATATAATCAATAATGTTGTATAGATTATGTAGGGTGTCAGATGGGTACTAGACTTCTCGGGTAGATCACTTCATAGATTGTGTAGATGCCTGACCAATGTGCTGTACACCAGAAGCTGATTAGAATAATATTGAATATCAACTATAATTAAATATATGCCTATATATATAGTCACGGGATGTAAAGTACAGCATAGGGAATATCGCCAATGATATTATAGTAACAGTGTATGATGTCAGAGGGGTAGTAGGCTTGGCAGGGTTATCACTTTGTGAGGGGAGTGAATGTCTGATCATTATGTTGTTCTGCACACCTGAAGCTAATTAAAAAAAAAAAAGAAAAAAAAGTGAGCCAAGGAACCCTCCAGAATTGTACCTCTTACATCTTAATGTGCACATGGGCCAAATCACCTGAGGAGCTTGTTAAAATGCTGGGTTCAGGTCTGGGATGCTGCCTTTAAAACAACCTCTCAGGGGTGTTGGACTCACAACACACTGTGAGTAGCGAGGGTGTCAATCACTAGTTTTCCGTCCCTAAAGTAGCCCTTCAATAGGCAAGCCTTGCTTTATGTCAACATCCTTCCCACCCCTCCCAATCCCCGCCCACTTGAGGCTTCCTCCACTCCCATTTACACACATACAAGACAGGGAGCAATTTATAGGAAGTGCCTGTGGTCCTCTTTAAATACTTATTCCCCTGCCCCCCCCCACGGCCCCCAGGCTCTATTTCTGATCTACTCAATTAGGATTCCAGAATGCAGGGCCCAGGAATTTGCACTGTAACAGGGCACTCTGGTTGGTTGTGATACTGGGCACCTGTAACACAGTTTGAGACTCTGCAACACTTTCTCCCTGTTCACAGCGGAGGGCTAGCAGGTCAATAAGAAGATATAGTCCTCAATTCTGAAAGAGCAAATTGCAAGGTAGAAATGACCTCATTAAGAACTGGAGTTTTGGGATGGCCGGTTAGTTCAGGTGGTTAGAGGGCAGGCTCATAACACATGGACCAAGGAGCTGCGCCCGCCCACAATTAGATTAAAAGAACTGCTTGACTTGGATCTGGTGGGTCCTGGGAAAACAGTGTTCCCCAATAAAATTTCAAAAACAAAACCAAAAAGATTAAAAAAAAAAAGAACTGGAGTTTTGCAGTGCTGAATTAGTTGTTAGCACATTTGCTGAGAAGTAAACATGCCTTTAAAATAACCACAACAGAACTCATAAACACCTCTGATTTAGTCTATAAGAAACAAAAGAGGGCCCAGAACCTCCAGTAACTGTCCTCCAGGCCTGTGCCCTCATTGCCCAAATTTTGCCTGAAAGGATCTGAGCAGGTTTTCCCTGTAGACTCTCAGCAAGCTTCATCCCCTTCCCAGCTGCTAGTGCTGCTGTGAACATGTCCCCTCAGTGTCCTTAGGCTGCCTGCCTCTCTGAACAGAAAGAGCCATGGGAACAAAAATACATGAATTGGTAAGATTGATTTATGATCAAGTCAGAGAAAAGCATATTTAACCTATAAGCAAACACTGA